GCTACCCATTCTGCAGCATCTCCCGTGCTTAGAGGAGTAAAAAGAAGTTATCTTTTCTTGATTGCATTGTTTGGCCTCCTTCTGGACAGCATGGCATGGAGACCTGGTCTGACTCTGCTGCTGGTCCCCAGATTCTCCCAGAATCACCCTGACTCTCAGTTTCCTCATTAAATAATATGAAGAACAAAAGGGAAAAGGAATTACCATGATAATGCCACTCCAGCAATGAAAAAGAAGCAGCATTTGCAAGGCAAAATCGCTCTTTCTGAGAAGGTGATGCTCCCCGAGGAGCTTTGGCAAGATGGGAGCTTGGCCAGCCAGCTTCCATGAGCAGAGAGTTCCAGGGGCTGCCTTCTCACAGGGGTCTCATGATAACCCACTAACAACATCTTAGGATCCTGACCTAATGGAGGGAGGATGTTTCTTCCTTCCATCAGTCCTCACTGCTTCAGGGCAACTTAAAAGGGAAAACTAAAAATAAACCCAACTTCCGATGACCTTTAATGGGTTGAAGCATACTTGGCAATGGGAAAGCAGGTCAGGTACCTTGGGGGCAGAGCTGCAGCTGGTGTACATCTCCCTTTGCATTGCTCTGATGATAGCGCTTGGCAGGGGCCAGGTTTTGGGGGCAGCTGTCCCCGGTGGGTCCCCACTCACCCCACGGCAGGACTGCACAGCACAGTGCACACCAACTCAGTTACACACACATAGGGGCAATGGAGCGGCCCCAAGATGCCCAACCTCAAGCAATAAGCCCTGATATTGCCTGAGAGACCCAGCCTTGCTGCATGCCACAGCAGAGTGCTCCTTGGCTGTCCTACCATGCTGCTGTGGCAGAGGTTTACACAGGGACATTAGCTCTCCTGAAGGGCTGGAGAGTGAAAGACTCTTGCAGGTTTTAGGACAAACACTGGTTTCCGATGCCCCAAAGCGTTTTATCACCCCTCCCTTTGGCAGATCATGCAGCACATCTCTTCTCTGGATGCCCTGACCTTTCAAGAGGAAAGGTGAAGGCCCAGCATTCACAACATGCAGGACCAGAGCTTCTGAAGCACTTGTTTTCACTCGTGCTTTTGATTTGGGAAGGTTTGTTGTATTTGATGGAGGGACTTAGCCCCTGTGATGATGTGATGGATGATGCCAGAGGACCTGTAGCTCCTACTGTGCATGGTGTACTCATCCCCTCCTGGCCTTGCAGCATAGCGACAGGTTACAGAGAGGCTGCGGTGCACACCAGCACCGCCTGGAGCAGATGCAGCTCACAGCCATTCTCCACTGTCTGGGTATTTCTGGGGTTTTTTCTGAAACTATTTGCACAGCACTAAAATTAATGACTGAAAATGTGAGTTTGTTTGAAAATAATCTATCATTTGATTATCGCTTTAATGCAGGCAGCCTGGGGAACATCTGCCTCTGCCTGTCTGTGCCTTCTCCTGCCGACATGAGGAATTGCTGGAAAGGGCTGTTGCGCTGCTGTGTAAACTGGAAGAAAGCCAAAGCACCAGCAAATGACTTGGTGGTTGCTGTGACTGAGGAAGAAGAGTGGAGTCCTGCGCTGGATGAGGCATAGGTGCCATCATAGCCACCCAGGGCCCCCTCTTACAACACCAGTTCACTGTCTCTGGTCCCAGTTTCTGTTTTCCAGGCACTTCCAAAGTAAAATGCTGATCTCCATCATCTCGAAAGTACTTCCGTCCTTACTGGGTGAGTGCGCCTGGCTTTGCACTGGGGCAGTGGGCAGCAGCATCTGACCACTCCTGCCTTTGCCTCTGCCAGATCCCACCTCACAGCGGAGGCAGGAGACGAGAGAAAACTAGGTGGGGAGGTGTCCAGTGAAGCAGAATGTCCTCCGTCCCATGACACAGACCATGTGCTGTGCTATTATGGGGTCTGCAGACCCCTTAGGCTTCTCTGCTGCCTTTTGAGAGCATTACAGCCCTGCTCTTAGAGGCTTTTTGTGGGAAATGTCACCAGCTTCCGATGAGTCAGAGTCCTGCTTCTCTGCAGCCTGCCCAGCACAGGGCTGGGGTCCCCATGGGCGTCTCGCTGCCGTTGTTTGGACTTCAATCTTCCTGAGAAAGGAGAGGCTTTGCTGCCAGCACACATGCAGCAGGGCTGCGGGAGCAGGGGCTGGCAGGGATGCGTTTGGCCGGTGTCTCTGGGACAGACAGACACATCGATGCTACGGCGCCCGGAGCAAGGGCAGCTGCTGCGGTCTCTGGCCAAGGTGTTTCCACTGCTCCTGCAACTGATACAGGGAAGGTTGCTCACCAAGATGATTTCCAGTTGAAGGGGAAAGGAAGGGGATTGAAAGCTTGGGGTGCCTACAGAGAGACCCCTGAAAGCTGTTTCATGTGACTGTATGTCTGTGTGTGCCTGCCAACACGTATGTGTGCATGTGTCTGTGCTTAGGTATGCTGAAAGGGATGCTATGGCTTCAAGTAAACCAGAAATGCCAGAGCTAAAGCTGATGAACAATGTGTTTTGAAGGCGGAGATGCTTACCCTCTCTAACTTCCCCTAACCCTGTCTCTTCTGGCCCTGGGACCTGCTATCTGATATTTCGCTTGCAGCCTCAACATTCCTCCCCAGGTCACACAGGAGTGAGGACAGATACCCTTTTCCAGAGGCTTTCCTTAGGCACCCTGCTCTGCAGGAGCGGGACGGGGCTGCCCCTCCAGCTCTGGGGACCAACATCCCTTCCCAGGGACAGTGGCTGAGCACAGCCTCACATGGAAATATACAGCCACTGGTAGGAGAGGCAGCGATCCTGATTTATCTGAGTTCCTGCTGTTGCATGGCACATTTTGGGCCCAACTCCTGGTGATGCCAGCAACCTCCAGCTCTCACATTATTCAGCCAGACAGTGTCCAGGTCAGGCATCAGGGAAAGAAGGAGCAGCTATCAGCTGAGTGGGCAAAGTTTGGTTCAGGTGGCTCTCAGCATCTCACAAGGCCATGGAGGCAGGGACAAGAAACCCAATGTCCAGGGAAGCTATCAGTAAAAATAAATGAAACTAGCACCTTGTTTTCTTCTGTCCTCTTACCCCCATCACTACCAAGTCCCTTTTCACTGAGCAATGCAGGGTCCTGAAGGCAGCAACTTCCTCTGCACAGCCTGAGCTACGTGGTACATGCTGGTACTGAACGAGGCAAGAGCCTTATGGGAAAAATACGCATCTAATAACTGCTGTGAAAGACTGTGTTGCAATGCACAGACACAAAGGGATGAAAGGAGGCTGCCTTAACATCCTGACATTTCCTCGTTTCTGACTTCTCCTCTCAGGCATCCCCAACATCCTTTTACGGCAGCTTTTGCAGCCAGTTTCCTCTGTCAAAGAAAAGGAAATGGGATTTCCAAAACACCCTGGGACAGCGCTGACAGTGATGGGCTCTGAGCAGTGCCCTGCACCACAGGTCCCTGCGTGGGATCTGGTGGCTGAGGCAGGGAGGTGATGAGGGTCAGAGCTTCCTGCTGTCAGCTCACCAGTGCCAAACCCCAAGTATCCCCTCCTGAAGGCACCTGAGGCCCTGCCCTGCTGGCAGAACCCACTCCCCTGCCCCATGGCACAGCTCCACAGTGCTGGGATCACCCCTCTGGAAAGGGATGAAGGGGAAGAAGATCTGCGCTGCTGCCCCCTGAGGTCCCCGGAGCACCCCATCTGTATCCCTCTTCCATCCCAATTTCCTCCCAATTTCAAGTTGTTCTGAAGGCAGCAAGTTAACAAGATTTGCAAACCAGGTCAGCGGAAGAAGCTTAATTAGCTCACTGAACCGTGGGGACCAGCTCGCATCGTGTCTGCTTTATTGACTCTCTGAATGCACGTTATCGATACAGTAGGTGCAACCTCACCCTGATCAGGTCCTGCGCTCTCCCCTTGAGGACGGGACACCCAGGCACTTGTCAGGTAGAGGAGAACTTCGTTAAAGGCCCCAGATCAGCACGGTAGGACAGCCAAGCTATCCGGCCATGCTGTATCAGCAGCACTGCTTCCCCTCCAAGCCCTGCAGGGATCCCCACTGCTGGTTCCACTCTTCTTACCCACTCAAGGCCTCTGGGAGAGAACAGAGCCAAAGGGGACAGGAGCAGGGCTTGCAGCGAGCTGGCTGCGTCACCAGCAGCACAGGCATAGCTCATATGACCTGCTACCTGTCTTGTCATGTCAACACAAACATCTGCTGCACACATAGAAGAGCGAGGGAAAGGGAAAGCAAAAGGCCCTCTCAGAGCAGCATTCCAGCCCCAGGAGCGGGAGAGATGTGGTGCCTGTCACGCTGCATGAAAAACCCCTTTCATTAGTGGCAAGACTGTAGCTCGCCTCTTTGAATCTCAGCACAGCTTCCCAGGGGCTCCCACGCAGAGCAGGCACAGCCCCTTCTCCCCTTGCACCTCGGGAGCAGGTCCGCTGGGTAAGGCTATATTCTGATAGTGTCTCACAAACAAAACAAGGAGCTAATGGCTTTGAAGCCCTTCCATGAATCCTTATGTGCTGCCAGCAAAGCTGCTTGCTGATCATGGTGGGAAAAGCCCCCTTTCCATCCTGCAGCCAGTGCAGGCACCCACAGGTCAAGCTCCCAGCATGGGATAGGCAGCAGGCTACAGGACAGGCCTGGACAGCGGCGGGAGAGGAAATCCAGATTTCAGCATCAGTTGTACACACACCCCCGCCTCTGTCCTGGGACAGCATTCCCTTGCAGCTCAGGCACCATAGGTCAAGCGGAGGGCTGAGCAGCGCGGGACTGCAGCCGTCCCACCGGCGCTGGGTGGGCAGCGAGCATCACCAGGCAGGAAAAGGCAGCGGGCAGGGAGCGGGCAGGGCAGGGCAGGGAGCGGGCAGGCGGTGCCCGGCAGATGGCGGCGGTGCGGGGCCGGCGCGTCCCGCAGCCTTCCCCCGGGTGCGGGCAGCCACCGCCCCCCCCCCGCTGCCCCGCTCCGTTCCGTTCCGCTCCGTTCCGTTCCGCTCCGTTCTGCCGCCCGCTGCCCCGCCCGGTTCGGCCGTCCTTGGGCTGAGCCGCCGGGGCGGGGCTGGCCGAGGCGCTGCGCGTCCCCCGCCGCGGCTCCACACCCGCTATAAGAGCCGAGCCGAGCCGAGCCGCGCTCCGCTGCGCTCCGCAGTGCATGGCCGTGCCTCGCCCGCCGCACCGCGGCTCCGCCGGGACCCTCCCCCGGGCCGGCCCCGGTGTCCCGGCGCGCCCCCTCCCAGCCGCAGACATCCTTGACCTTGCTCTTCGGGAGCGGGAGCCGCGGAGCCGGCGGTGCGGGGCTGCGTTGGGATGCGTTAGCCGGCGGATCGCACAGAGGTATTCCTGCTGGGAAGCAGAGGCAGCCTCCTCCCGCTGAAGGGGGCGCGGAAGAGGATTTAAAGAGCATCTTTGCCCCCTTTGTTGGATGAGAAGGGCAGAGGAGGGACCAGCAAGATGAGCACTAGCAGTAAGTATGGCATTCCCTCACCATGGCTGTGGGAATGGGGCTGATATTTGCACTGGTCTGGCTGGGAGGAATTGGAAAGAAAATGTCACAGCCGGGCTGACAAGCCTAATAGGATGGATTTTTATTATTTCCTGCCTGGTTTTTGCTTTCTGACAGGCTCTGGCATTGCTGGCCCTTCTTTCGTGTGGGCAAAGCCATGGTGCTTATCTCTGCTGAATACTTTTCTTGGCTTGTATTTCTGGGGTTTGGAGGGCAGATCACGGAATGAAATGTTGATACGCAACATGGTGAGAGGGAGCCAGGAGCACTCTGACAGGCAGCAGGCTCGCTCACTGATGCTGATGCCTACATGTAAATGGACATGGGGGAACAGCCGATGAGGAGGGGGACCAGGGTAAGGAGGGAACCAGGGGCCTTAGCAAAGCACAGGTGCAGCACGGAAAAACATGTACCTTCTGCAGCTGGGGATGTGGGTGTTTCTTTTGTGTGAGACAGGGACAGAGGCACTCATGCAGTATGCATGAATTCCTAAAGCAGAGCTTGGAAATGTGCTGTGTAAGATGGGAACTGGCACCTGGTACTAGTCTGGCTACTTCGGGTTTCGTGTCCTTGTTACAAAGTCTGGAAAGATTGATCAGGTTTGATTGAGTCACAGTCAATTTCTTCTCCCTTGCTGATGCGATGTGTGGCAGTGGTACCCACCTCACTAGCACGGCTTTGAGCCATTCCTTTAAAATCAGCAAGCCCCCAGCCAAAGGTGCCAATGCTGATGACCACCTGAGGGTCGTCTTCCTGGGATAACCTGCCTGAGGAAGCCGTCCTCACTTGCTGTGAGTCCTAGAGGCTGTATGAAGACAGGAGGACTCCCCCAGGCAGAGAGCAGCAGCAGTAGTGACTTCTCCATTGCATTGGCTGTTGAGGTTTCTCAATCCGAAGGCTTGGGGTGGTTCCCAAGCAAAACACCGTGAAAAATGCCTTGGCACGCTGCAAGGCAACAGAACAGGTGATTCCAGCTCTGTTGGGCTGTGTCAGAGCCGAGAAAACTTTCCAGGTGCCCTCTGCTTCAGCCACGCCTGGGACCAGGAGCGAGGCTCCATCCCGGAGGAGCGGGGTTGGTGGTGCCCGGGTAGGGAACAATAGGGACTGATTCTGCGCCTGCTGGGTGCTGATAACAAAGGCTGCTCCTCTGCCTCTCTGGGCAATGAGCTGCGGACCGGTGTGGAGGGCTGGGATGTGCTCTCTGGGGTCAGTGACCACAGTGGTCAGGTGGGACTGTTAAGCTTCCTCTAAGCCAATTTTAACAAATGCATGCCGGTTCCTTTTGGGATTCCTTTCCAGCCTTAATAGCCAGCTTGGGTGCTGGTAGTGATAAGGGCTGTTTATGGCACTGATGTGTTATAACTATCTGATTGTGCAGCAGAGCTCCCTCACTGGGTCCTCCCCCACATGCAGAGAGGTGCCAGCAAACCCAAATATGCTGCCTGCCTGTTGCTCTAACATGACTCACGGGAGGAGGCCACCGGGTATGCAGCAAGCACAGGGCTGGGTGTCTCTTGGGTGGTGCTTCTCTTCCTGCCACTGCCTTGCTCTGTGACCCTGGGCACATCACTGCTATGCCTCAGCTTCTGGATTTGCTGCCACCATGGCTCTTGCCCAGCCCTTTGGATGCCTTTGTCATCTTTGCCTAAATATTGCCATTACCTCTAAATAGCCAAGGGGGTTAATAAAGGTTTGAGGACTCTGTAACATCTGCTGACCACTTCCTGTGCTGTTGATCACTTATGGATTGCTTAAGATCCCTTTGGGACCACAGGTCGTATGAGGGCTGTGCACTGCCTGGAAGGCAGTGGGCTCTGCCCTGTTGTGCTTCCAGACTTTTTCCCAGTAGCTGATGGGTTCAAGCCAGGACTTGCTGTACCCAAATGCTGGCTCATGACTCTCCTTAGCTAAGGTACGATCTCCTAGCTGGTTCTGTGAGCAAGGCATGGGGTGCCATCTCTCCCATCAGCATGTTCTGTGACTGGTGTGAATGTTGCCAAGAACTGTCTCCTCACTGCTGCCTCACCCAGCTCTGCAAATCCTTACCCAGCCTGTATCCCTCAGGTTTGTGTGCCTGGAAGGCAAAAAATGAGCTCAGAAGCCTTGTGCCATTGCCATCTGTGCCATCTCTATTTCACTCTGCTGATGCTACCTGGTGGTGACCTGCAGGGGCTTTTGCATCCCTTTGCTAGTGGCCAGTGGCTCAGGGGAGCTGGGTGCCACTTGTTGGTCAGAGGCTGCCCTGCCTGTGGCTCTGCCTCCCAGGCATGGCCAGCTCTGCTGCTCTGGGCACTGATTCTTGTTCTGGCTTTTGCCCATTCCCTGCAGTGACCAATGGCTCGGATGTGGTGGGATCCAGCCAGCTGCTCTGCTGCATTCCAGCCCCTGGTGCACAACACTACCTGTGCAGATGGGACTAGAGGGAGATGTAGGAGGAGGGATGATGAAGCCAGATTGTGCATGGGCTGATCATATGCAGGTGTATCTATGGCTGCAGGACCAAGATTTTGGGGCTGACAAATCAGATGCACAGCTGAGGATGAAATGCCACCATCTGATCTGTGAATTCTCACTGCTCCTTTCCACTTCATTTGGTGCATTTAGAAAACACTCCTATCCCATCTGAGGCTGACATGAGGCAGGAAGCCTGCAGCTGAGGGCCATGGCTGGCCCCAAGCCATGTTGTTGTGCAAAACTACCTGTGAGGCCTCCAGAGAGCTCTGTGCAGGATTTGCTGGGCTGTATAGATGTATTTCTGGACATGCTTTGTGCACATCACACAGGAGTCTTGCCAGCCCTTGTTGATGGGACAGAGGTTTGCTTTTCACCCTGGTATGGGACCCATGTTGTCACCTCTCCGTGATGTAGGAAGGCAAAGCCATATGGAAATGTGCTTTTAAGGTGAAGAGGAAAAGGCCTTTAATCTTGAGTGTTAACTCCTATCCTGAGGCTGCAGATGAGACTAGGTGGCCCTGAGGGTGCAAGGGTTGTGCTGCTTGGGAAGGTGGCTTCTCCTCCTGTGCTCACAGGTGTGCAGCGAACATTTGGAGGGCACAGTGTTGATGTTTACATTGGTGATGGTATTTATACCTCCCACTCTGCTAAGAACTGCTAATTGGTTGCAAATGGATTCATACATTCATAAACAGGTCAATCAGTGCTGCTCTGCGTTTCCATTGAAGCTGGATTCTGTAGCAGAAACCCTTGCCCGAGAGAACACCCCTTAGTTTCACCCTCTGAAATCACCTATGTTCTGTGCTCAACCTCTCCCTCAGACTGTTCTGGTGCAGGGATTTTAATATGACCAGTGCTGTTGTTTGTGCTCATTAAAAGGCAAAGGGTTGGAGCTGTCATCTGCCAGGAGGATTTAAGACTCTCTTAAATAAGTGTGAATAATTCCTTCTGCTGTTTTGAAGGTAACCATGAGGTTTGAGTGCTGCAGGTCCATGCAGTGAGTACAGTCTGTGAGTAGGGGGCATGGGAAATGGCAATTGCACAGCGTCTCTTTTTGGTCCAGCTCTGGTGGGGCGGGAGGGGATGCTGCTGGAAGTCTTGGCATGTGTCTTGCCAGGAGCGAGGTGTCCCTGGTTGTTACAGTCACCGTGGTCTGAGCAGAGACCTGCACAGCTCCTGGAGGAGGCAGGTTTGGCAGGCTCTGGACCAGTGTCGCAATGGCTGATTGAAACTGATTCACAAACTAGGGCTCTTCCAGACTCCTTTCTGTCTCCAGCATATACTGGAAGACCAGAATCTGTCCCCATGATAAGCAAATTCAGTTGTGGGGGGTACTGGTACCGTGTATCCCACATTCTGTTCTGTCTGAGCAGCTGATAGCCTGTTGGAGCATGGAGAGCTCTTGCAGAGGGTTTGGTATGTGAAGTGGGAAGTTGCTTCAGATCATCCCAGCCCCTGGACCTCTCAAATTCCTGCTCTGAGCCTTCCCTGGTTGCAGAAAGCTGGGGAAGAAGACATGAGGAAAGGCTGGCCAGTTAAGCATTTGATCAGGAAGGCATCATGACAGATACCAGTGAATGCAGCACGTTTGCTTGGTTGTTTTTCATTCCTAAATCATGCTCCCTCTTACGTGGTGATCCACTAAGCATAATTACCCAGTAATCTCTAGGCACATGTGGTTACAAGGTGTTTACCAGCAAACTCTATTAAGTCCCTGTGTAATTAAAGAGGAATCACATGGTGCTGCACATCTCTGGGAGCTCCAGCTCTGCTCTACACCAGGCAGGGTGATTCACCACGTCTCACCAGCCAGTGGGGTAGGACCAGCTGAGGAGGACATGGGGGTTTTTCCCCCTATGTTCGGAAGTGTAGTGAACCCAAAGGGATCAGCCTGTTGGTGTGATGAGCAGTGGTAGTGCTTCTCTGTGAGGAGGCTCTGGTTTCTGTGGGGTGACACCAGGCCTGGGGGGTTATGCTACAGATGAACCTTTACAGTCACAGCACTCATAGTTCCTGGTCAACACGGATTCACATTTCATCTTTGCAATGCTCAGGCTGCCACAGGCAGGACATGAATGGAGAACTAAGCACAAATCCAGTGAGGGAGGACCCAACAGAGTGACTATGGCTGTGGTGCTGCTGCTTGGTTGCTGGGAGTTTGAGGTGGGCTCTGGATAAGCACTCCTGCTCCTCACCCCTGATTGCTGCTGGACAGGCTCTTCACATGCAGTGGGGAAAGAGGCAGGTCTTCAAGTAGAGCTCTTCTTTCTCTGCAGCATCTCGTGGAGAAGGAGAGCTTTCAGAAAGGCAGGAGTACACTCTGTTCAAGGTGTGGGTGCAGGTGGGACAGCGAAGAGAGGAGGGACATGGATACAAGAGAGTTTGAATTAGATTAAAAGCTACCTTTCTAGCATGTTCTCTCCAAATCCAGCTGTGAGCATTACCTAGAGTCTATGCTTCTTCCATGGAGGGCTCTAGCACTGTTCTGCAGGATTTGGGCACCAAGG